GTCAAAAACAACTATAATCAGAAGTGAGAGAAATGTGCTAGAAAAGAAAAGCAGATGCCTGGGAGATAAGGGGGAATGAAAAAAATCTCATTAGTAGAATTTATTAGATTTTATGGAACAGGCGGCATTTGAGGTTTATGTTAAAGGTCTGATGATTTTAGCTTTTCATTCACTAGTTTCAGCAACCTCAGGCAGGTGACTAAACTCTCAGGACTCAATTTCCATATATGGTTAAATGAAAAAGCAGAATCTTAATACCTGCAATATCTTTTAGGTTTTGATTCAATGATTCCATAATTTTTCTTAAAAGAAGTTGGCAGACACTATCAACCACACTTATCTGTCCCCTAAGGTCACATCCATGATATAGGCCACCTAAGCAAGTGACAAGAGGAATTAAGCATGCCCAGGACATAAAGAGAAGAAGCAAGGAGTCAATAATCAAGAGCTTATTTAGAAAGTGCCACATACAGTAAGGTAATTAAAACCTAAACATCTGGAGAAAATGCAAACAGTGTTTAATGTTGGCATGTACCAAGAGACCTGCAAGAATGATCAATGTGCCCTGAGGAGCTAGGGTCCTAGTTATAGGATGAAAGTCTTAGAAGCCTCTCTCAGCAGGAATGATATTAATCAAGGAGTGATAACACAGAAAGGAGAAGGAACGGGGGTATGGAGGGGGCACAGAAAATATAAAGAACAATACTCTAGATTTTTTTTTCTTTGCTGGGAACATAGTGAGCAGGGAGTACAAGGATATAACCACTAAATGAATTGGCTGTTCCAAGTTTAAAACAAAACACACTTTTTTTCTTCTTTTCTTCCTCAATGAATTCCACTTGGGATATTGTATTCTTTAATCCTTGAAGATGTTATACAACACCTCGTGAAGGGAGAACAGCTAAGGTTGGTCGGGGGTGATGGGAAAGATACACAGAGTATAAAGAAGTTTCCTTTTTAGACAGAATACAAACAAACTCAGTGAGAATTTAAAAGTGAGATGGAGATTTCGGCATTGATTTTTTTTTTTTCTTTGTTACATTTGTATTAGTTCTTTCCATCACTCTCTACATCCCAGCTGTTCGCTTCAGGTGCAGGTTAAATCATCTTTTCTCACAGAAGATTATATGTACGTAGCCAATAAACCACTGCAGACACCAACAAGCCTCGGGATTTATCATGGACTAGGGGTGGGGGAGTGTTCTCCCTCAGAGACATGGTGACAGATAGCTAGCCTGCCTTGCTTCTGGCACTAGGATCCACTCATCCTTATTTTGGGGGGGGGCTACCTGATATATCAGAGGCCAGGTGCAGGAATCCTTCGAAAGAGAGTTGGCATGAACTAGGATAATACCTGGGAGCAGGCTTTCTAAGTCTCTTAGTCAAGATTTCCTAGACTGACCTATGATGAGATTATAGGTTTTACTGTAACAGACATATCCAAGGAAAGCTGCAGTAATTTACAGCAGGCTTGCAGAGAAACAGCCAATGGGTGGTCATCAATTCAAACTGTAACTAAGGGCCTGTTTTCTTCTGGACTCTGATCCCACTAATGCCCCTAACAAGCTGCCTGCAAAGCCAGGGCATGATGCCCGCTGTTGGAGACATGACTGAAGAACTGTGCTCGTCCTCACAAGCAGCTAAAAACAGCAGAACGTGAAGGCAAAACAAGTTTCTGGGAAAACAAGACAGTTACCCTGACGTCAGTTTTATTCCACTTGCTCCCGCTGATGTGAAGGCAGAGAGAAGTATCTGGTACAAAAGATGTTAACTTGTTAACTTGCTAGATAGCACCCTAGAGACCTAAAGGAATTAATCCAACCCTTTAAAGGAGCCTGCCTTTTCAGTGAAGGACCCAGAAGTCCTAGGAGAGCTGGAGAGAACTTGAGTGCCTTTGTCCTACATAATTAATAGAGCCTGATATTTCTTTTTTCTTCTTTTTTTTTTTTTTACGTAAACTCTCAATGAGTGGGGGAAACATATCCACTCTTTAGAATGTTGTGGAAGTACCCTCTCTTTGGCTTAAGTATGTCCTTTTAGGGGAAAAGTACATATTTCATGGTGATAAATTCACCTCATAAGTAGGAAAACTGTACACAAATATATTGCTATGTCAACTTTATTGATTTTTGCACCATTGTAAAGACCTTCATCGACCTCCAATATTTCTTAAGTCTATCAGCATTTCAGAAAGTGACCCTGAAGGTCTCATTTCTCTGTAGAGGAAAAGATCCCTTTTCTTAGGTTCACCCATAAACTTTGTGATTTAAACAGCTGAGGCCTGCCTCTGCTTCTGGAAGGTAACCAGGCCAGAGAGAGCTGCTCTCTCATAGTCACGGGCAATGACTTCTCTTTCAGGAAATAGAGTAGGTCAAATCTTAATTCCAGCTAAATGCTCATGGCCAAATACCCTTTCTAAGGTCCTCCAGACAACAACAGATTAAGTATGCAGCCTGACTGATACTGCTGTATTGACATGAGTGGATTTGATAGCAGGGCTCCTTGCTATATTCTTTCTAAGCTCTCCTTCCAGTCTTAGGAGCTACATCTGAACTTAAGAGTCTCATCTTCCAGTCCTGCTCCTGTAAACAAGCTTGGAGTCTCGAGATCACCAGCACATATTCTGCAGCTACAGCAAAGTATATGATCACATTCAATGTTTGGCATCCTTTTTTCTTTTTTTTTATTTTTTATCATATTCCTCTCTAATGGCATCAATAAAACAGAGACTATCACTAGATTAGAACAATCGAAGGGTCTCTTCCAGCTATAAATTCCCTTGTTTTTGCCTATATTACTTTACAAATGGGAAAATATAAATGTCTCACCCAAAGTCCCCTCTTAGGTGGAAGCAGTGTCATTACAAAAAGTCATATTGCATTTATTATTAGAATACAGGACCTTTGAGGGTGGAATGCTGGCTTATTTCTCTTTGCATTCTATGGTACCCACAGTTTGTTGACTGTTAAACGAAATTTACTAAAAATGTGAACTAGAGGAAAAATCAATAGGAATTATAAGAACTGATTCAAAGCCAACAAACATGACTAAATCTCACGATAAAAATAAAGGATGGAAGTTCAGCTCCTCAATTTAGGAGTGTATACAGCAGTTTACATGACTGTTTACATGTCATTGCTGATGATGGACCAGTAATTAGCCACTAAGGGGAAGACAGTAATGTTCAGAGTATATCTCTAAATTTGTGAGGTTGACATTATTAAGCTGTGCTGTCCACTACTGTAGCCATCAGCAACATGTGGCTATTTACATTTAAATTAATTAAAATTAAGTGAAATTTGAAATGTAATTCTTCAGTCACACTAGCCATCTGTCAAATATTCAATAGCCACAAGTGGTTAGTGTTTACAATATTTGACCGCATAGAGGAATATTTCCATCACTGCAGAAAGTTCTACTGAACACTGCTACTTATAGAGGATAATCACTACTAATACTTCCAATAATTAGAAGAAAAAGGAAAAGGACGAAGACGAGAAATGAAGAGAAAACACTGATTAAGCCTTAACCATTCTGTGCTAAACACTTGAAATGCCTTATTTCATACAATCCCTACAAGTTTCCTCAGGAGGTAGGTACTATAATTATTCCCTATTTTAAATTGGATGCCACTGTGCTTGGAGAGATTAAGTAAATGACCATAGTTGTACATTTGTTAACTGGCTTAGCTAGGTTTTTACTCAAGCCATCTGACTCCAGAGTCTGTGCGCAACTGGTAAGTTATGCTGCTTCTACTGAAGAACCTGAAATGTTTAGAGCTAAAGGGGACACTACACTTTACATAAGTGGTTCTCCATCCTAGATCCATACCAGAAGCATCTGGGGAGCTTGCTCAAGGTACAGTTACCTGAGCCCTAAGCCAGAGCAACAGGGGTGGGACCAGGGCTTGCACATTTGGGGACCACTCAGTGCTTTGGATGTGCAGCCAGAGTTGAGGATGACTGTTTAGAGATGTTCTCATCCACCTGCCACAATCTAGGTAACAAAATGCAGAACCTACACAAGGTCACCAACAATAACTACTGACAGATCTGAAATGAGAACCTGGACACTGGTGCTACCAGCATAATAGAACATGGCTTAGGACATATTAATGAACAGCACTTTTCTATTTCCTGATGGATACTGTTACTTCATGTAATTCATGTAATACGTAGATATGTCAGAATTCAGAATTTGACAACGCAAGTTTATAAAAACCAAACAATGGATGTAGCACCTCTTTCCTCCTGAGACAATTAGGTCTTTCTCATTTAAAAGCAAACATTTTCTTCCTGAGAATATAGCATCACTCTCTGAAGATTAGATTAATCCTCTTAATAGGAGCAGTATAATGTAGTAGAAACAGTATGACTGCCAACCAAGAAACCCAAATTCTAGTCCCAGTTATGCCCCTAACCCTGTGATGGGGCAAACCATTTCCTTTCTTTGAACCTTAGTTTTCTCATCTGTAAAGTCAGGGTGTGGTATGTGAGGATCTCCAAGGTTCCTTCCAGCAGTGCCCCTTCCTGACGTTGTATACAGGCTGAATAAACTTTACAAATGAAACTTCCAACCTGCTGCAGGACCACACCTTCACTTCAACTCTAGTTCATCTGTCTACTCCACGTCAAGGGAAAACGAGGACATCAGATGAAAATCCCACGTTTTCTTTTGTCAAAGCTCACTGTGATTCTTTTCACTGATTGGTCAGAGCTCTTAAAACGGAGTCAGCAGACTCCACTCAACCAGACTCAACCCCTATAGCTGCCTTTCAGAAGTGGCACTGATATACCCACCCCTCGCCCTCCAACATTCATACTTGCTGATGTGAAAAGTACAATGTGCAAGACATTTCACCACCTTAACATCCATCAACTTATCTTTATACCTCTAATCCCAATTTAACTGTAATGGATTTTTAGGCAGCTAGAGAGGCTAGCCAACCAAGACAGAAATCACATCATGAATAAGTAGCATTCTGAATACACACTTCTTACCTTACGCTTGTTGGTAGGACACACGTAGAGATAACTCAAAATTGTTTTCAACCCAACTTTATCATTCAGCTTCTCATAGGTTGTCCCATAATCAGTTGACCTGTAATTCAAAAGGAGCATTAATGAGGACAGAAGTTATGTCATTTGGCTGTGTGTCCGTATAATGCATGTTTTACACAGCAGAACGACTCTCGGGAGGTTTCTAAATGATTCATGTAGTATATAATGAAGCTTAATTATGTACACAGTAGCATCATGTGAGTGGTTAACATTTGCATTTAAATTGAATTGGTAAAAATTAAAACTCCATCTCTCTACTGCTCCTTAATGTACGCACATTGCATGAAGAATGTGGGTAATTTTAAAAGATTAAGAGATCAGGATGTCCCTTGACTTGACCAAAGAAATAAGGAGCTTTTAGTGAGAGTTGATATTTGCAAACTTTTGCTTTATCTTTGGCACAGTGGAAAAGCAGGTTCTCCTGATTTATCTACAAACTGTGTTTTCTTTCATGAGTCATAGAAAATATGGTGGGTCAGTCCCTCCAAAGGTCATTCAGTCTTTTCCTATTATTTAAGAGTAAGAAAATGTCTTAATAATAAGCAAAATTTCACAGTCTTATTCAGTGGCCTTTTCTACTGTTAAGCAACCTGGACTTTGGAAGACATTATGTCTTGGCACTAATGCTATCTTTTTAGAGATGTTCTCATCTTTATCTAAACATTGATCAATAACTTATCAATTCAGATTAAATAAATAAACCTTAATCATCTTCTCCATGAAAGAGTATTGTGTATTTCAGAATTGTAATCATTACAACTTTCTTCAGCAGGAAATGTTATCTGTATTTAAAGAAAGTGGTTGAGAGAACTTAAGTTCAAAGACAACAGGTGATAAACAGCCAGCTAGGTATTCTGGCCCTAAGCCCTATGTTATTTACATTATACCACAGCTTTTTTTTTTTTTTCAATTTAAAGGAAACAGATATACCTCAGCTTTCTTTTTACATATAAGTGATTTCCAATGCAATTCATTCATTCATTCATTCACATTTGTAGAGCTTCTAAAATGTACCAGGCCTTAGATACAACACATTGCCCCTACTCTCAAGAATCTAACAGCTTTACTTGAGAGGCAGAAATATAAAGTTATAATATAAGTGCAATGACAGAGATAAGAATTAACAAGGCTTAGACAATAAAGTCGGTTTAATCAGAAAAACACAAAAATGTAATCATTTTAATTCATTTCTGATGTTACAAATTCTCACAGGTCATAAAAACTAAACAGAAGAAGTTTGTTTTAACGATCTCATCACCATGTATTAAAAGCTTACTCTGGACCAGGCACTAGAAAAAGAAAGCTGTATAATATGTGATCCTGGAATGAAGGAATTTAAAATTTATTCTGGCTAGGGATCTGGGGCATTTTCCCCTGAAATTTACATATATTATATATAAATATTATAGATAATATAATATTATTATAACTACATATATTATATATGTATATATTACAAATAGTCAATACTTTATAGAATTTAGATGGTATGCCAAATTACTACAGTGTTATGCAAAGCTTCTTGGAAGAAGTACAGACTTTGAAAATAGAAAATGGGTAGGACTTTAGAAAAGGGAGGTGGTAAAAGTATCATCAAATCAGTAAACCAGAAGGTGCCAGTGTAACCCAAAGTATAACTGCCTTTCTTCAGGATCAGTGTGTGCTCTATTCCAATCAAACACTGGCTTCATAACCAAGAATACTTGAAGGGCATTCCAGAACTCTTTCACAGGAGATTTTACCCATGAACCACAACAGACTTCTTTAAATCCTCCTTCCACATTCCTCTTTTTCTCCTCAAACTCATTCTGATGTGAAATTTCCTCCTACTCTCTAAGAAATAGCTGAGACTTCTTTCCTTACTCAGTCCAACCTTGGTGTTGGGCATTTTTTTCCATTCTTACCCTGGCTTTACTTGGGTAAGTAAGAAGTAAGAAGGGTAGGAAGAGAACTTTCTCTTACTAGAACCTGCTTGTCTCCAAAATTTCACTAGACTTTCTTTAGCTCCTTTTATTGGATAACTGCTTCTATTCATTATTGTGAACCATACGCACAAGTTCAAGAAGTAACAGATGCAAAATCTATCTAGGCGGGTAACGGGAGGAGGATGGAATGTGCAAACACTGCTACATTAATAAACTTTCCTAGAGATAGATGGAAATCAGTAGGACTATGTGGGAGATGAGAGAATGGTTCAATTTTCCTAGTGAGATAACGAGAAAGGGGGTTAAAGAAGTAGAGACCAGTCTATACAGGGGTGATAATCAGTTTCCTATAATTTATATTAACTTGTTCCCTGAGCTACTCTACTCAATGGATATTTTTACATTAAAAAAAAGATACTCTACAAGGGCAAACTGTACATTTGTATGTGTGTGTGTGTGTGTGTGTGTGTTTAATTGGAATCCCAACGTGATAAGATAATGGAGTAACTACCTCAGATTTACATTAGGAACTTTTTTCAGAGACCTTAATTGTAAGGTCTCTTTTTTTTTTTTTTTTTAAAGATTTTATTTTTCTTTTTTCTCCCCAAAGCCCCCTGGTACATAGTTGTGTATTTTTAGTTGTGAGTCCTTCCAGTTGTGGCACGTGGGACGCCACCCCAGCATGGCCCAATGAGTGGCACCATGTCCACGCCCAGGATCTGAAGTGGTGAAACCCTGGGCTGCTGAATCAAAGCGTGTGAACCCAACCACTCGGCCATGGGGCCGGCCCCTACAATATCTTATTGGACACTGTTCTCTTATTATAACATCACCAACCCAGATCCTTCAAGATATATGCCATTATTTTTTGTGCTATCTCCTGTCTCTTGATTGTTCAAAGCTCAAAAACGGAATCAAAATTTGTTAATTCTCAATTCCAGCACAGCTACATGTTTAAGCATTACGGCATTGTAATAATCAACAAATAGTAAGAGACAAAGTGATGCATTTCCACACACCCAAAATGACATAGACTAGCAGTTGTCTAAGGTTGTCTCACAGAACTAGAATTAGATGGAGCATTGGCATATGTCATCAGTAAAACTAACGATCAGCTGGGATACATTGGTACAATGGTACAGAAGTGAAAATATCTGATGCTTGCAAACCAGGTGGTGAATAGTTACTGCACCAAGTTCTCTGAGTAATGCTCCTGCCAGCCTCACCACATGGTCTCTCCCTTGGAGACCTCCTAGATCTCCTCACATTCCAGCAATCAAAAGATTGAGGGCTGGCACAGCAGAGGTCCTCAAGAAACCTGCTGTAGGGCTAGGATGAGTACCTGTTTGGATTGGTCAGTGCCTATGCTAATCAGCCTGAGCCCCAGTGAAGGAGACAGTGACTTCGGAGGAGGCACTGCACTCTGGAAGGCAATTCCTAGTGCCCATCTGCAAACTCCCCTTCACAGCTAACAGATGCTTCCAGTTATCCTTGCATGGTCCACGGTAGGAACTGCAGTGTCCTAGGGACGTGGGCTCTGAAGAGCAGAGGAGAGACAGACAGTTGAGCATCAGGCTGGCTGGTGAGCAAAGTACTAGCTGTTAAATATTTTAAGTATCATCCCTAGGTACAGGGGAGAGGAGTGTTATCCAAGATCAAAAATGTTAGGAAATGCTCGATTAGGCAAAATTTAATATTCCTTTGCTTCAGAACTTATAAATTTTATTATTCTTACATACATACATAAATTTTATTATCCTAACATATACTGTGAACCTCTTAAACGCATATGTAATGAAGTATTTTACAAACACATTTGATTATAGGATCCATTCTTGAGAGATATGTAATGAGATTAGTGTTCTGAGCAACATATTTTGGGAAAGAATATCAAAGACAAAATAAAGAAAGCAAAAGAAAGATTATGGATGTTGGTTTCATAAGAAAAGGGGAATAACAAAAATATTTAAAACAAATCAAATTTGCAAAGAGAAATGCCAGCCTATGCTAACCATAAAATGACTTACTGTTGTTAAGGTGGGGAAAAAAAAGAAAAGAATCTTAAAAAAAATGTATCCTGCGCAGACATATTTAAGATGCAATATAAGCAGCCTTGAATTCTCAATTTGTACCATTAATTTTAAAACATCCCAAAGCAAGCATCTTTTTTGCAGTTTTTGTTTACAGGTTGACTTATCTACAGATGAAAAACAGAGCTTCTGTCAACATCTATGTTGTGCCAGAAGAAGCGGAAAGCTTAAAAAATAAGCATTCCAGGAAAATAAATATGCAGGTGATTAAATCAAGGCATGTTTTTGCTTTTGATCCTTAATCTTTACCCTTGTACAAACAGCGACTTTTAGAATATTTGAAAGCATGTCTTTATTTCAAAATTTACTATACACATAGAGCTGAGTTGCTCTGAGGGGTGGAGAAACTACATTCAAGTCATGGCACCTACCTGGCAAGACCTTATGACCTCTTTGAGACAGCAAAGTCTCTCAGCACACGTGAAGAAGGGATCAATATGGGGCATGACTAGATTCCACCAGGAGTGGCAGAAATAAATGTGTGATTGGATTTCTTCTATTATAATCCTACACCATCAAATGATAAATAAATATGGAATCATTTGTAAACTAAATTAATCCATAAAAAGTGCTGAGCACAATGACTGGCATTTAATAAGCAATCTGTAAATGATAGCTTTTGTTCATTTTATCACTCATGTTTTCCTTGATTTTCTTTGCATTCTTTGCCCAACACCTACCAAAACCCATAACATGAAACCTCAAAGAAAATCTCAACCACTGAAAATGATTTAGCTTTAGTTTGCTTAGAAGAGAAGATATTCATGAAGCTATTGTTAGTACCATGGAGTGGATTCGGACTCCTAGTGACCCTGTGTACAACACAGTGGAACCCTGCTTGGTCTTTTTGCGCCGCCCTCTCACCTTCCAGTGCTATATCAGACAATGCTCCGCTGCTATTCACAGGGTTTTCAGGGCCAGTTTTTTTCAGAAGTGGGTGGCCAAGTCCCTCTTCCTGGCCTGTCTTAGTCTGGAAGCTCCGATGAAACCTGTCCACCATGGGTGGCCCTGCTGGTATTTGAAAT